GGCACGCGCCACGTGCAAGTGTGAGGGCAATTTCATTTCAAAAAGTGCCATTTTAAACGGATTTTGGAATTTATATTAATTTCAGGTGACGTCAGACGGAATGAGTTGAAACAGCGCCATTAGCATAAAAATGTACCGCCTCATGGAAAAATTGTGAAAGCTAATTGATCAAAAACAATGTGGAAAAAATCGCTGAATTAAATGGTATTTGTCCATAATGTGCCACTAAAAAGATACACGGATTTGCTGCTTAACCTGATACGTTTGACAATTGAAATTGCTATCATTGGAAAGAGCATTCAATTCTCTCCAAGATCCAATCATCACGTTTGCATGACACACAGTATTCTTAAAAATAAATGTTTTAAACCTCTGCAAAACGATTTTTAGCGAAATTATCTACGCCTTTCATTTGTCTTAAAAACTACGCACCTCAATTATAAAGCACATTTGACAGGTTCACTGAACTATTGACAGGTTCTGAAGTAGAAAGCATGCTCATCAGACACAGGCACCTCGATCCGATGGATATCTTTTTTCCAAACCAAAACGTTTAGCCATCAAAAAACAATCGACCGAAATGGATAGATAACCCAACCGACACAAGAACAACCAAACACCCGCCGATCGTAAATACCCCCTTTTCGCGTTGCGGAGCACGCGGGTCACCCTAGTGTACTACTAAATATGCAGATATTCACATAGTAGGTATCTGTGTGTAAATCATTACTCATCAGTGCTCGTATCTGCAGCGCACGAAAATGGAGAATAAACATTTCGTCATTTTGTTGAATCATACGATGGGGTGGAAAATACATGTTAACGGGTGGACACCATGCTGACTATCTTAAGTTGTGTTTCGCTTAAATGTTTTTTTTTTAGTTTCTTATGCATAGATGAATAGATAATAGACATGCAATCATAATATTGAGTTGCCCCGAGGCCAAACTGCCCAACATTTCGAATATCAAGCGGAAGGAGCCAGAGTCCACAATCCACATCAACTGTTTTGTCTGAAAGCAAAGTTAGGTCATCTTCTGCTTCCTTTCAAATGAAGGCCACAACCTTTATCGATTTGATAATATACGATAGCAGCATAAACTACCGTGATAGGCTCTGCTTTCAAAACTCATGTATTTCTGAGTGACACATCAATGTAATCCATGATTCCAGGGAGGAAATCTCTCCGAATTGGAGACACTGGTAAATATACGCAAGTTACATTTTCAGTGTTCGACAATATAGCCATGACGAGAATAGCGTCATCGGAGAGCAACGTTGCAGGTGGGTGGATGCGAAAAGTAACGTTTAAAATATGTAGCATCAATTTATGACAAGTAAAGTGAGTATAGTCGACTAGAGAATGATGTTCCACCTTTCACAGGCAATCATTTGCCTGGAGTGGTAGGCTGTGCCGCATCACACGGGCTGAGTTCACAAATTATAGCTTTGTCCCAATGCTCACAATCGACACGCTTAATGGCATGATAAACGGCACAACTTAGCGCTCCGGTCAACTGGTAGCTGCTGAGGAGTGGAACATCATTCTGTAGTCGACTATACATAGTAAAAAGAGTAAGAACATTTACTTTACCGATGCATATGCTTTACAGTATAGAGGTATATACGTCCTAAATGAATGATAAACCGGAGTATGTGCTTTATGAAAATTCGTTCAAGAATGGCTATCTGGCTGTTCTTTTTCTTTCTTTTGTTTTCTTAGTTTGGTCACCGCATGGACGTTTAATGCTCAACGCAAGCTGAGCAAAGTGATTTTTGTGTTGCTGATGATTTTACCGTGTTTACCGCCGTGCAGCGTACAAAACTCGCAAGCCTACATGGCCGCACCTTTACATATTTATGTAATACATCAGTCTTCTATCGTGCTGGCTTTCAATCCACACACAGCTCGCCCGGATACGACTAACTTACTTCTGTGTTCGCAACAGCACTCCACACTGGCCGCAACGTGCTAGGAAGGACATCAACCGTGCAAACAATCCATCAGAAAAAAGGAACCCTCGCAACCACCCGAGAGTGCAACCTTCGTAAAGGTGGGTAAGCTTACGCAAGCGCCATGATGAAGGAGCAACCTGTATGGTTGGTGTTAAATGGATAGAAAGTTAAATAAACTATTCGTATTATCGTTGATTATATGATAAAATATTATGCTTGCTTCAATCATGATAGAAAATAGAGCAAGTCACGATTTTCTTTAGACTTGTGTCTAAAAAGTGAAAAGGATATGTAGCATATCATCTGAACTTGCAATCAGCATTATATTCCTTATTGTTTCCCAGGTTTCATAAAATTCTTACAAAACTCTGATGAAAAAAAGTTATTACTGTTTTATTGATGTTATACAATATTTCCTAGTTTTATGTACCTTTTCCTATTTTATGCAACCGCCTTTGTTTCAGGGCCAACTGGATGGGACTTTCATCTTGAGGTGCTCGAAACATCAACGGTTGACTACATTGAACGATTTGAGCTTAGTAAGAAAGATGCAATGAAGAAGAGGACTTACGAACGAATTTCCATTTTTCTGTGAGTCTTTCACAGAAAAATGTGGGTCGTACTGCATTCGAGACCCCTCCCCCTAAATCCCAAACATCCAAGTCTACCAATTTGGCATCTTTATTTCGGCGCGAATCAATCAAACCCTTTGAGAATGGGTTAACGGCCGGACCAACAATGTTTAATAAACACCTGCAATTACACGACAACGACAACGACATACAGCACTTGATAGGGATAAATATGATACCGTGTTATAAACAAATTGTTGAGTTGAAATAAATGAAATATTATTATGATTGATACCATGACATGTACGTCATCGACCAAGCTGTGGCAGCATTGTACGTACATACAGCATGCAACAGATATAAGGTGAGTTTCAGCCAGTCAATCAACCGTGTCAGTCAGATAACCAGCAGGACAGTGGATAATGGATATCACCCAGTATCAATATTCTGGATCCGTTCCGATAGCCTGATATGGTGGTGCCGATCGATCCCTGTATGACGCCATCACCCTAGGTCAAAATGATCTTCGAACCTCATATGATATCGTCAGAATGTATTTCATAACAATCAGCTCCTCAGTCAAAACAGACACCTAAGCCTCAAAATAGATTATTACAACTGCATGATAAAACATCTGAACAGTGTTTACTATCAAACATTTTTCAAAGAATCGCATAACCAGCTACCAACACAAATAAATGTAAGCTTCAACAGTTCTATCCATACACGCAACGAAGTGCATGTGGTCTGGCCAGTGGCCAGTGTCTGACAAGCGCTAATAATTTTTCAATTGCCAATGGCACCGTATTTTGTGAAAATCACAGTTTCTCGTACCCTGATCATTGTTGTAACTTTTTTGCTATTACCCAAACAATACACATTACACAGTGAGTCAAGGCCAGACGCTAAATGTTCGTCAGGAACTAAAATCAACAACGTTTAGGTGAGTCATTAAGCCGGCTTTCTTCGCAGTTCTAAATCGATTTAGATCTAATCCTGTCATGGAAACGTAATTGTATTGCTTCTTGTTTGACTTATGTACTTACTAAACTTCTTTCGTGTCCCCTTGTCTCAAAGTAGGGAATATAGAGCTAGCTAATACATTTCCCCGCTGGGAATTCTAAGCTAAACTTGATGATATTGCCATTTGCAAACGAATGCACAATGCAGATCAGTATGAAGTCCAAATAGAAGTAAGGTCACTGTTATCTTATTTTGCTGTTTTTTTTTTGTAGGGATACACTTTATAAACTGGACAAATGTGCGTGATAGAGCCAATCCTTGTAAAGCAACTGATATCTTCAATTTCTCTATTCATAGCCGTTTTCACGACGGGCTCTGCTTTCTGGCGAACGCGCGTAATTTGACCAAATCTAAACCAAATCTCTTATACATACAACAAATATCTTCATATCATGATTTTATTTCAGGGTATATACCGAAAACAATGTCTGATAATTTGAAAGATCAGGTACATAAGCAACTATATAGTGCAACCCAACTAGTAACTGCTGAGAAACGTAATGAACCTTATTTGACCAAATATGCACCAAATCTGCAACAAATGTCACCACCTATCCCGCGACCTGGTGGGGGGGGGGCTATTTTTGCCCCCCTCCAGACTTTTCGATATATCTCGAGAACCGCTACGCTGATCGTCACCAAACTTTCAGTACCCTCCCGGACATCAATTTTACACATTGTGACCAAAAACTTTTCCAAAAGCTATGATAGGTTGGCCGGAAATGACGTCAGAGTGACGTCATGTTCTGCCGTTTTCGACCCAAAAAAGAGTCTCGCGGAAAGAGCTGTCAGACCTATAGCTTTGCAAATACAGAAAAATGATACAGACATAAAAGCTGTAGAATTGACAGGGCTACAAAACTGCAATCTCGGATTTTTGAAATTTTTGGATTTTGACCCCCAAAAATAAAAAAAAAAATATTTTTTTGGATATAATAATCGAAAAAATCCAAAAAGTTTTTTGAATTTCGCAAAAACCGGAATATATGTGATAGTCCTTAGCAACTTCCATCCACATACCAAATTTGAGATTGATACCTCTTTTGTTGTAGCGAAAAAAAACTGTTCAAAATTGATGACGTCAAATTTTCAAACTCAATTCTGCATCGAATCAATACCCATTTTATGCAAAACTATCAATTTTAAAATTTGACCTTTTTTGGCCTGACCTTGACCTGACCTTGACCTGAACTTCACCAGAAAGTGACCTAAGCCGTACCTGATAGTCTTATAACCAACACCATTGAGTTGGAAATGAAAAATTGGCCATAAAACATGCATCACACAACCTTAGTAAAGTTGGGCTCATGTGACCTGACCTGTGACCCTTGGTGACCCGACCTGTGACCTGACCTAGTATTGTCAGTGACCTCTAATAGCAACATATCTACTAGGCAACTGACGCCCTATCGCTGATTCTCGACAAAATGCGTTTTCCTCGGTGTTATAGCGCATTCCGTAGAGGACCCGTGAACGGTGAAATATTTCATCTTTGACCTGACCTGTGACGTCATTGGTGACCCCGAGGTCAATGAAATATTTGGTTTCCTTCGACAAATTTGACAGGCCTTTCGAACGCCGTTTGAATTTTGCGGATCCGTCCAGTAGTTTCGGAGATACGAGGGGGGGGGGGCAAAAAATAGCCCCCCCCCCACCAGGTCGCGTTATAAACAGACCCCACCAGGGCGCGGGCTGTCTTCAATATCTATTATTGTAGAACATCCTATACATAATATTTAACAAACATGCTTTGCCATGACTCAAAGTAATGTACGTACATAACCCGGCAGTTGCTGGGGTATTTCGCCCCCACCGTTTGCTGGGGGAGGGGGGGGGGCGTTAACCCGCGCCCCGTTGGGCTCTGCCGAGCAACGCGCCCCGTTGGGGGGGGGGGCATTTTGCCCCCCCCCCCCCCCTAAGATCTCGAGAACCACGCAACCTAGCGACAAGCGGCAAACGGTTTTGGATAGCCCTATCAGGGAACTACCTTGTGACCCAATTTTATTGACCTAGGTCAAACCGATGACGTCACAGGTCAGGTCAAAGGTCCAATTTTCACCGTTTACAGGCATTTCAAGAAATGCGTTGTAAAATCGAGTAAAATGCATTTCATTGAAAATCATCGATGGGGAAATGTTCTTCAAACACATATTTTGCTATTTGAGGTCACTGATACCAGGTCAGGTCACAGAGGTCAGGTCACTGAGGGGTCACAATATGAAAGTGTCGTGTGATACATGTTTTATGGTCCATTTTACATGACAAATGCGATTATGTGGGTCAGGCAGCCTTTGGGGCCAGCTTAGGTCACGTTTTGGTCAAGGTCAGGTCAAGGTCAGGTCAAGGTCAGGTCAAGGTCAGGTCAAATTAGGTCAAATTTCAAAGTTGATATTTTTGCATAAAATGGGTATCGAATCGATGCAGCTCGTCAAGGGGAGTTCAATGGTGGTCTTCGTTTTGCCGTAAGTGGTCTAGAATCGCTAAAAATTGAGTTCAAAAATTTGACGTCATCATTTTTGAACAGTTTTTTTTTCGCTATAACTTGGCCAAAAAACGAGATATTGATCTGAAATTTGGTATGTATATAGAAGAGCGCAAGGACTATCATATATATTCCGTTTTTTTTTCGAAATTCGGAAAATGTTTGGATTGTTTAAAGTTTTTCTAAAACAATCAATTTTTTGAATTTTTGGGGGTCATTAACCCAAAATTTTGAAAATCCGAGATAGCATTTTTGTAGCGCCGTTTTTGTCTACTAGACCATATAAAGAACTTTGAAATTGCTTGATAACTGTAGATTTGGTGAGCGTTTAAAGATTGCATGTTTTTTGCTCATTTTTGCTCGAACATGACCTCAGTTTGACCTCAATAACTCCTGACCTAAGGTGACCTAAGACTTGAAGTTTTGTGTGATGGTGTCAAATTGATGCCCGGGAAGGTACTCTTGCTATTCAGGAAAAACCACAGGGGGGGCCAAAATGCCCCCCCCCCCCCCCCAACGGGGCGAGGGTTAAGCGCCCCCAGCCGATAGCTCGAGAACCAATAGGCGCAGCGAAACGCACGAGGCGGCAAACGGAAGAACGCGACAGGACACTTCAGATGAATACTTTAAAGTTGAATTTTGAGGTCACAGGTCGGGTCAAGGTCAAGTCAATCACCTGAAATCGGGCTTTCAGTAGCATGGACTTCAGGACCTCGCAATGGGCGCCTCTCGTCATAAACTCTGTCAAGACGGTGCACAATCCTTCATATAAGGCCTACAAGAGTGTCAGCTCCATGTAGGGGTCAGTCAAGGATAGGTCAGGGTCAAGATCAGGTCAACCGGGTAGGCACATATCCCCGAAAATCAAAACTGATATTCGCAGCCTGTGACACACGTTTTATGGGTAGTTTTGGGCGTAGAACACGATGGTGACATTCATTTTATCATATGTGTACGTGTTTGGTTCAAAAAGTTCAATTTAAGAAATGCATATATATCATGGTCGTGAAGTAGTCACGAGAAATTGCCAAGAATATTCAGTTCAAGATTTTGGAAAATGCGGAACGATAATCAATAATCGAAGATAGCCATTTGATTATTCATGGTATTGGCAGTCTAATGGCGTTTACGTCATGTTTGTATGTCTATTCTGTGATGTTATATGATTTTTTGAACATATGCCGTTTTTGGTCGAAAACTCAGAAATCATGATGTCACTAAAACCTCGATATCTAAAAAAATTTCCGACCGATTTTTTTGAAACTTTGTCACAATAAACTTCAATCAATTCCCTACAGGTGCCCAAATTTTATGGCGCGGCGAAAAAAGTAGGGGCGTTTAACGCCCCCCCCCCCCTCCCAGCAACTCGCGGGATAATACATTTTCAATAGCACCATGCTTTTGGTTTATATAAAATCGAGCTAGTTGTTACCAAACTTCTAATCTAATCTAACACGACAAAGGCATGCATCGATAGAGTGAGTCCCACACTCCCATCGTTTGTATGGCCACGTAAACATCTGCACATCGTGCGTCAATAGGCGAAACGGTAACAGACAAGAGCAATGTTTTCCGTACGACTGGGTATACAATATGATTTAGGTACTGATCGATACATCTCAACGCTTCAGCAGCTCCGATCATCACTTCGGGAACTCTTGGCACTCTAGGAAAATATTTGTTTTAGCCTTGTGCCTTTCCGACCGAGACGGACAGGTGCTTCTCTCAAACAAGCTCATACAATTACAATTATACACACAGTCACGACTAAATAACCGCCATGGGACGTAAATCAGGTAGATGACCCCCGGGGTGTGGTCATGAGTAGAACGCCATTCCAAATGTCAAACCCGCTGGATGACACGCCATGGTTAGTGGATTGTTGGTTGAGCCTGTGGGGCTAAGCTTGCCGTGTAGCCCCAGGGCCCTAAACATCGGCTTCACTGGGTGACCCGCCTGACCAGTGACCACTCGCTAAACAGTCTGGTCGCTTGGTGACCGGTCACCTAGACCAGAGGTCGGGTCGCTCGGTGACCGGTCACCTAGACCAGAGGCCAGGCCGCTCGTTGACCAGAGTTCGGGTCGCTCGGTGACCGGTCTCCTAGACCAGCGGCCAGGCCGCTCGGTGACCCTGACCGCGAAGGGCGGCGGTACCAGGATACCGGCACTGTGACCGGCCACGGCCGCGGGCGGTCCGTCGGCGGCCGGCTCCAGTTGAAACTGATGCAGCAGCCGGCTGAAGAACAGGAATAGTTCCATCCTGGCCACCGGCTCGCCAATACACTGCCTCTTTCCTGGAGACACAGAAAACCGATACAGTAGTCGGGAAAACTGACAGAAACACTCCGCTGACAGACGAGCTGAGTACGATACATTATTGCTATTTATCGAGAATCTTATCGACTTTTACTTGTGCCAGGAGAGCGATCCGATCAAAACACATCGGGGCTGGGATGCGTTTTACGCCCCTGTATATTTGCAGTCGACATCTGATGATAGGTATGTAGTTGCGCAGTGTAAGTGCCTTGAGCTTGCCCAATGCCCGTGTTTGGAATGCACGTGCCCTGATTACGGCTAATCAGATACAGCATATGCGCTCAAGGTCTGTGTTATGACGACTACTGAAGCATAAACATTAGCATCATGCTCATGAAGCATCAACAGAAAAGGAATAATTTCAAAAATATATTTTCCCAGCAACAGTGGAAGTTTAAGGCCCCACGGAGCGAAGCAGCTTTCTTGTAGACATGTGCTTAGTAATTATGAGTTTTGTTTTACAGATTCTTCTATTACTTACTTGAATTATATGTGACCATATGTGTCCACGACCATATGTGTGCGTTTTCAGCCGATGCATAACTGAACAAGTGAGTCCCGAAGGTGTTGCAGGTCGAGACGGTCGTCAAGTTAGATGTAAGTGAATCCTAATCTATAATCTAAGATTCGGAATCAGGTGAGCCCCTACGATTTGGACCAAACTTGGTCAGTGGATAGTACGTAACGTCCTGATTACGATGCACCCAAAATCTAAGCTCGGCCCGCCATATTCACGAAGTTACGGATGTTTGAATTTCAAGGTCATTCGGGAGAGCCCCTACGATTTCCGTCAAAATTTGTGTACGGACACTCTAGATGCTCCTCATTACGAATATCACAAAATTTAAGCTCGGCCGGCCATATTTACGAAGTTACGGAGGTTTGAATTTCAAGGTCATTTGGGTGAGCCCCTGCGATTTCCGTCAAAATTGTTATACAGACATATTCCATCCTCCTCATTACAAATATCATAAAAGTTAAGCTCGGCCCGCCATATTTTTCAAGTTACGTAGTCACAAAGTTACGGAATTTCAAGGTCATTCGGAGAGCCCCTCCGATTTTCGTCAAAATTTGTTTGCGGACACATTACATGCTCTTCATTACGAATATCGTAAAAGCTAAGCTCGGCCCGCACTATTTCAAAAGTTAATGAAGTTTGAAACTCATTGAAATTCAAACCTCAGTAACTTTTGAAATAGTGCGGGCCGAGCTTAGCTTTTACGATATTCGTAATAAGGAGCATGCAATGTGTCCGCATACAAATTTTGACGAAAATCGGAGGGGCTCTCCGAATGACCTTGAAATTCCGTAACTTTGTGACTACGTAACTTGAAAAATATGGCGGGCCGAGCTTAACTTTTATGATATTTGTAATGAGGAGGATGGAATATGTCCGTATACCAATTTTGACGGAAATCGCAGGGGCTCACCCAAATGACCTTGAAATTCAAACCTCCGTAACTTCGTAAATATGGCGGGCCGAGCTTAAATTTTGTGATATTCGTAATGAGGAGCATCTAGAGTGTCCGTACACAAATTTTGACGGAAATCGTAGGGGCTCTCCCGAATGACCTTGAAATTCAAACATCCGTAACTTCGTAAATATGGCGGGCCGAGCTGAGATTTTGGGTACATCGTAATCAGGACGTTACGTACTATCCACTGACCAAGTTTGGTCCAAATCGTAGGGGCTCACCTGATTCCGAATCTTAGATTATAGATTAGGATTCACTTACATCTCACTTGACGACCGTCAGGTCGAGGCGATGCGCATGTTCATTGTCATTGCTTGCATGTTCATGTTTGCTGTTGATTCGGTGACCAGTTACGCGCGATGGGCACGCAGCGAACTCATCCGTGATGTGTTATGCTATTTTAGACACACGCCGGAGTCATTTTGCTGTCCATTACCCCCGCATTACCCCAGGGGACAGCAGGAAGACCCTCGGCTCCCGGGTGACCTCACCGGTGCCGAAGGGTAGCAGGTGATCTTCCTTCCTCAGCTGGCCACTGGGCGTCAGAAACCTCTCTGGCCGGAAGGTCTCCGGGTCCTTCCAGTAAGCCGGGTCAGTGTGGATGTGGTGCAGGTCGAATAGCACCATCGAGCCCAGCGGCACTCTGTAGCCTGCAGGTCACCGACAAGGTCATGTTACGGCAGGATAAGATCGCATGGCAGGTCACTGGGTAGCTTGGTAAATATATCGCTCGTCAGGGACAAGGTTACGGGTCAAATAACGCAGCTATATTGCAAATTATGTAGGCCACGCTAGTAATTCGTAGCAGAGGTTTTAGACCAGGGCAACTTCTGCAGACTCGTTCACGCGGTGAGACATCGGTCGCCTTTTCCTGAAAGACACCTGCGGATAGAGCGATACACAGTGCTGGACGGATTACCAGGTGAATAATAAACTATGAATAAATATTCTACGAAGCAGCTGAAGTAGACTGGGCAAGCAATGGAGGGATTGTTGAAGTGTTCTAATGATGGAAGGAGACCGCCAACCATGGCGGGCCAAGCTATATCATCCCTGTCGACACGTGCTTGGAGAATCACGAAGATCAAGGAAGCCGCATAATAGCACGCGGGAACCAATCCCATCAGCCGGTCGGGCGTTAGCGTAAGCCCAGTATGGCTTCCGCTACCGAGAAAGAAAACAACGGTTGTGCGGATAAATGACAGCAGGTTTCAAATGTCCACCGTGATGTCTGCACATCGATGGGACTGGTCTGAACCAGGGAAGTATGTAATGGGATGATTTCCCACCGACTGTTAAGATCGTTGGGATCAACAGCCAGGAGTATCCATTATGAGATGCAAACATGAAAAATGCCTAACATGGATGTAATTATATGGATCACTTTTACATTAACAAACTAATGACATATGATTATCTATGAAAATAATGCACATATGCAAAACCAACCATAAAGATATTGACGTCACTCGTTGGTAATATTTTGAATGAGAGAGAGAGAGAGAGAGAGAGCAAGAGAGAGAGAGAGAGAGAGAGAGAGAGAGAGAGAGAGAGAGAGAGAGAGAGAGAGAGAGAGAGAGAGAGAGAGAGAGAGAGAGAGAGAGAGAGAGAACGAGAGAGAGAGAGAGAGAGAGAGAGAGAGAGAGAGAGAGAGAGAGAGAGAGAGAGAGAGAGAGAGAGAGAGAGAGGGGAACAGAGGCAAACGGAGACTGAGAAGAAGACATGGAGACAGATGAACGGAGAAAGAAGAGAGACAAAAGCAGAGAGCGAGAAATTAATATTGTTAAGCAGCTTCGCTTACCGGCAATGCTGGTTTCGGTGAAGGAGGCGTTGTGGGCGAGAGCCACGGGTGTGACTGTGGCGAGACGAGCTACCTCGTTCAGTGTCGCCTCCGTGTACGGCAGGCTGGAGAGAGAACAGGACATCACTGCACTGTTAAAATTGGCGTCAACGGCTATCACTCCTTGAAAGGACTATTCCGTCTTGATGATAATGATTACATAGGTACAACCGAGAAAGTAGTTGCAACCATGGAACCATTCTATGGCGTGTCAGGGCGGTATAGTATATGGTCCGATCATCGTCGTCCGATCTATAGCATGATCAATAACGATGTGACGTGGCCTGTGGTAGCATCGTAACGCTCTCGACTGGGGATAGGCATGGTTACGACCGTTGCAAACCATGTATTTCCAACAAAAAAGTAGCAAGGATATAAAACAACAATGAAATTAAGAATGATCAATCGCCATTCCAATTTTTTAGCTGCTACCCTGCACTGACATTTGCTCATATGTACACATATAGCCAAAAACATCAAACGTCGGCTCAAATTTCGCACGCTCTGAGGCGCGCCGGTCAGCGGCCCTCTGAGGTATAGAGGCCCTCTCCCCAGAGCTGCCTCTATGTAAACAGAGCGGCCACCCCACCCGGGCCAGGCCGGGCCGCCGAGACAGTGCAGCCGCCGTGCCGGGGTGACGATGCACAGCAATCACCGACTGCTTATAAATGGGCGCCCCGCTCCGGCAGTGTCTGGGACTGCTCGTCCATGTGCCAGTACTCGGATTTGGGCCTCAACTTCTGGGAACGGTCACTTCGACATTCCATTCGTCAGGCGTGGTAGCTGAGCTGCAGTTGCATTACTGCTCATGTAAGCAGGCTGGTTTATTGACGTTAAAAGCTAATTAGACCAGATAAGGGCAGCTGTTATACACAAGCACCGGGTGCACCCTTCGCGACCGAAAACAACATCTAGGGCCAAAGTCTGCATGGTTAAAATGAATGAATACAGTGAGGACTGAGGAGTGATGAAATAAAATGGGTAAAAATGATAAATGAAGAAATCTAAAAACCTAAAAAAATGAAGAAGCTAAAATGACTATAACACCTTCTTACTTTAACCCGCGCCCGGCTGGGGGTCCTGGATTTCCACGCCCTGCTGGGGGGGGGGGGTGTTTGAACACCCCCCCCCCCTTCTAACTCGGCTCCTGGGCCACGTAGCGATACGCGGAAGGCGGCGTTCGAAAGAGCGTCAAAAATAATGAGGAAATCACTTCGGTCAATTTTTTGGTCAGGTCAAAGGTCAGGTCACCAGAGGTCATTGAAGGCAAAATTTCGCCGATTTCCAGGTCGAATGTCGACAATTTCCAAGAACCCAACGCATAACTCGGGAACCAATAGAGCTACAGCGCCGCGGAAAAGCGCATTCGATAGCCCTATTAACGCCCTTTCTGAGTAATTCTCTCAGATTTGATCTAACGTCAACGGTTTTGCCTGCAGGGGGCAAAAACTGCAAAAATAGCCGATTTTTTCGGAAACAGTTTTTCTGCAATAACTTTTGACCCAAGCCTTGTACGAGCTTACTATTACCGGCATCGTGTTCCTCTCGTCAAGACGCATCGAATGAACTATAACTTGACCTTGGAAGGTCAACTTGAAAATTTGACCTCAGGTCAAGGTCATGACCTGACCGGAAAGGGTCATGTTGCATATCAGTCGATCCGTATCGTCGAGCTGAACACATCTATGGTGTTTTCATCGCTCTAGCATGCCTCTATCAAAAGTTATTTGCGAAAAACTGTTAGATACCATTCGTGACCTAAGATGACCTCAGGGCATAAACAGGGGTCACGGACACCATTTTCATGTTCAGTGTGTCTAAACCACTTGTAATTCAGTGTTTGGGAGTGTTTATAATGTCTTTCGTTCAAAGGAGGCGCATTTCAATTTTCTCCCATTGACTTATAATGGGGAGGTCGCAAAATTGACCTGACCTTAGGTCACCGATATCAAAATTCTGAGATATACATTTTGTACATGCTATTGCTCTTAGCAATCGCTGAAAGTTTCAAAGCGATCGGTCACTCGGTGTAGCTATGACAGACATTGAAACTTTTTTATGAGGTGAGGTCACTTCAAGTGACCTGGTGACCTGACCTTGAATGACCTTGGTCTGAAATTTTCACAACATGTGTAGAATTGATGTATGATAAGGTGTACCAAAAACGGCGGCGCGGAGCGCCGCCGTTTTTGAGATATTCGCGAAAAACCACAAGGGGGGGTGTTCAAACACCCCCCCAGCAGGGCGCGGGTTAAACCGACTCTCATAAACCGAAATATAGGTTCATTGGTATCTTGAAGAGAAATCAATCAATAACACTTGCACCGACGGGGGTCTGCGCCAACCTCGTACCGACGGGGGGGGGGGGCGGATGACCGCCCCCCCCCCCTGAGATCTCGAGAACGAAGCAAGATAGCGACAAGCGGTAAACGGCATCTGATACACAAGGACAAGGTCTACAATTTTTACAAAGGTCATTTTCAGGTCAGGTCAAAGATGACGTTACAGGAGTCGAAAAAGTCAAAATGGCGGCGCTGGATATGGAGAGTTTTTCTTGAATAACTTTCGAATTAGTCATGATAGGAACAAACTAAGGGCATCATCGTGATCCTCTCGTCAATCCGCATCGAATGATAGATATGTTGACCTCGAAAGGTCAAGGTCAAAGGTTGACCTCAGGTCACGTGACCTCGAGGTCATCATGTATATCATTCGATGCGTCTTGACGAGCTGAACACAATGAGACCATCCGCGTGGCTGTATCTTGTTCCTGTACGGAGTTAGTGGCAAAAACCCTTTGGTGACCTTTGATGACGTCACATGACCTTACAGCTGCCCAACAGCAAAACAGACCTCAAGGTAGTGAAGGTTGATCGTATATGAAGTTATGTATGGTATATGGGGCCATTCCGACCCGTTTTAGTGGTAAAAACAGGGAGTTGATTTTCCCCCATTGACTTAAAATGGGGAGGTCGCGAAATTGACCTGACCTTAGGTCACCGACATCAAAATTCCGAGATATACAAATTGTAGCTACTAATGACCTAATAACATTCTGCGACTTTCAAAGGCCTCCGACATCTACTGTAGCTCTGGCACGGTGACAAAGTTGCAAAAAAGTGACTTGAGGTTGGGTCATTCAAAGTGACCTGGTGACCTGACCTTCAATGTTAGGAGGCTCAAACTTGCACACCATGTGTAAAATTGATGATAGAATAGTCGTACCAAATTGCGCCGCGGTTTTCCCGCTATCCGCGAAAAACCTCAGGGGGGGGGCGGATATCCGCCCCCCCCCCCCGTCGGTGCCCGTGATAAAAGCAAAACATGCAGAGCGGCCGGTAACTTATTTCCAGCGTCTGTATCGAGATTCATTGTCAGTAAATACCTAGTAAGCTCAAATCACTATTATTTGTGTTATTTAGCCCAACCCATTGGGACCCCAGAGCAAACGCCCACCACAATCCCTAGGGAGATCCTAGATCTTGCGATGAAATATTCATTGGAGTGATCTTTCCAACTTGAGATGTCAAGCTTCAGTGAATACAGTGTCACTACCTGCTGAATACAGTCAATACCAGCTGGATGGACGCATCCATGAAACCTCGTTCGGGTAACTAATGGGCCTACAGCTGAGCACCTACATATGTATAGCAGTCCTCTCAGTAGTCAGTTGGTTATTTCTTTATCCGGCAGTAATTTAGTAATGAACGACAACAAAGAAAAGGTAGGTATGCGTTTTTCGATAACGTGAACATGATAGCTAAACGGTTTCAATCATAGTGATGTCAATCAATGTTGTGCTGGAACTCACACCAAGGAAGGCGTATGCCGCATTGAAGTCAATATACCTCACATAAAGCAAATCATGATATAACTACTGATTTGAAATCGATGGAGCCGATCGAGCTGTACTTCACACTGGTTTCTACGCTGAACGCTCCTCACCTGGCCTGGTGCTCCAGCGACGGCAGGCGGTGGCGTCCCACGACAGCGTCCAGCTCGCGCTGTACCCTGCGCTGCACCTCCGCCTCCCGCACCATGAACAGCAGCGCCCACGACAGCGAGCTGGCCGTCGTCTCCGAGCCGGCGATGAACAGATCCATCAGGATGAACACCAGGTTCAGCTCGGCGGCCCGGTCGCCTTTGTGTTCCGCAAGGTAGCGGGTGACGAGGTCGGCGTCGCTGCCCTCCCCTCCGCCGGCCGCCTTGGCGCGGTGCTCATCCAGCAGCTCGTCAAAGAGCGTCATCAGTGCGTCGCGATGGTCGCGCACGGCGGCGAATCCCGACCAGCGTGGGCTGACGAAGCGCAGCCACGGCGCCAAGTTGACGGGACACAGCGGGCCACAGCGCTGCACGAACTCGCGCACCAGGCCGAACATGCGCTGCATGCGCGCGTCCTGCAACCGGTACCTGGTGACCGGTGGAGCCACGTCAGCGCAGGTCAGCTCAGGGGGGCCACTGATGAATGTCAGAGTGTCAGATGGACAGCGTTAGAATTAGCAGATGTTGACGATGTGGGATAAATGAAATCCTTGAATCCAGTTACGTAACGGTGGCCTGACGGCAGCACCACAATGATCTAAACACGGTAATGATCATACAAAAGCCAAGCAAATTCAGAACGGTTTCACAGTCAACACTGCGTGTAAATCCCAAACAAAGCGTGTGCTGTCTTCTGGTTATGGTAAGTTATCCTAGTTATAGCTTTCTTTCATGGCAAATGAAGGTAATGGATAAAGCGTTGTCAGAGAACCGTCAAGGTCAGGCCTTCCGCCTTTGGGCAGCGAAAAAAATACCGGCATACCCCTGACAGTTTTCTTACGGATATAACAGCCCCCACGCCATTTTGACAACCACCCTAGTATTTGTTGATGAATTTCCGCTTCTCATCTTATAGCAGTACCACCATGTCCGGACCGACCAGAAACATGCACTGTTCAGCATTTCAAAATCAGTGCCACGAAAAAAAAAACGAAAGAAGGCTTTCATCCTCCCGTTATCCAACGCTATGAAAAACTGCATTAAATTTCGCTGGAAATCAACATTGTGTAACAAGTTGACATCACGCAAGATTACAAATTGCGATAAAACTTGGCCAGCCAGTAAATTGGATTTCCATTTTATTATCATCATTGTTGGAAAGGCCTAACAAGAACTTGGGAAATGTTTTTTTTTCAATATATACAACTGATCATAAAATCCAGGAACTGATCCACAAAAAGCATATCACTGATTCATTTGAAATAAATACGTCTTTTACTAAAATGTATATATGTATTTTACGCTGCTGTAGGAATTATACAATATCATTTGTTACAATATTTATTTGTTATTGCATCAGAAATGTAAACCATTCCGGTTTCTGGAACAACTAACTCAACAGCTCCATTTACAGTTCTTACTACGGCAAGCTTCTTGACGGCTAAAATAATAATACAACTAAAAGCGAGCGTAGCGGGGCGGCGGACGCATTGACCGTGCACAAGAGCATTAGCGGTGATCTGGAGGGAAACTGCGGACTTAATAGGTCCAATGACGTGCCTGGTGTGCTGATCAGGTAGTGATCACCCTGCGGCACACGGTCCGGTCGCCTCCGACAGCCCCCCCCCCTCCTCCCCCTCCCGTCCGACATCCGAGCCCCGTGGTGGGGCAGAGGGAGGCGGGGAGGGAGAGGGAGGCGGCCCGTCCGGCCTCCTCCCCGGGCCATTGCGAAAGTGGCGCGCACTCCTCATGGCCGCAGCGGCAGTAGTCCAGACTGTTTGCAATGAATGAGGCGCCAGGAGAAGAGATATTTACGATCCCGACTGACCTCGTGCAAACGACTTGAACCGCTCGGGCACGGCGCCGCCGCCCTGGGATGGGCCATGTGTCTCAGAGGTCTGCACTGGGCACTTAGCAGTGGGCACTACAGTGGTGGGGTGATGGGCAGGAGCGGAGGGCTGTTGTGACCTCTGGACTGCGGGCTGACCAGTGTCGAATTAGCCTGAGTCGTGTTGTTATGCGCGGTGTGTGTGGTTAATGGTGTGTATCAGGAGTATGCGAGATTGTAATAATGCATTTGCTTTCACCCCTAAGTCAAAGAAAAGCATATCGACTTGGAGTTATACAGCGGAAGGAGATACCACGGAATAATTATGCCGTATTACGTAAGCTTAATAACTCAGGCTGCAAAGATACATTATAGATCGCTAAGAATATACCGGGTGGCCCAGAAAAAACGTTCCGAACTTTGGAGGCTTATATCTCAAATTCGAGTGCAAATAACGAGCCAAAATTTTCATCAACTGTTGCGTCATTTCTTTGCGCATTGGTATGCCAAATTATAACACTGTACCATCATTTTCAAGCTGACAATCTTGAGTTCAATTAAGCAAGACGTTTTTGCTTTTTTTGCCGATGTCGAACGATAGTGATGATTGGGTTAGACGTTACATGTTATAAAAAAGAATAGCAAATTAGAGCACGTGAATGAAACCAGCCCGTATGTTCTTATTTTAAATATTTTTGTATCAATTATGTGCCAAATATTCAAATACTGAGCCAAAATGGTGCTCATGGATGCCATTCGTTTCAACACCAAATCATGTTTCGAGCAGGAGTGGCGTGGTACATGGACTGCTGCTGATTACCCTCCTTTCAGTAGATCAAACAGTAAATCGACCGGATAAGGATAACAAACTAAAGCAGACTGGTTCCTGTGTTGTGAGTTGTGAGTTGGAGGAATGGAATGGTGTGGTGTGTTTGCACCTCCATAGTGGCGCAGCGGCCTGAGTGGGGTGACATGACGTGGACAGTGTGTGGCAGTGTGTGATTGGCCGTGTGGATCTGGTGCGTTGTGATTGGCCGAACCCCGACCTGGCGGGTGCTCGCTGGTCCGGGGCGGTCAGTTGGGGTCTGGAATAGACTGTGAAAGGAGCCCTGTGTGTGTGGAGCCCGAGAACACGCCAAAGTGGTGGCAGCGGTGTGCACTCACAGGCTCACACAAGATGTCTGGAGATTTTTTTTTTATAAATTTAGTCCGAACCTTTTGATGGGAAGGATTCACAAGGACAGAGCCACCGCTAAGCGAAGCTTGTTGCGATGACCCTGCCCTCTACCCTCCGATCGCGCAATTCCGATTCTATGGCAGAATTTAGAGTCTAAAGTTTAACGTGCGCACATAGCCGCGCACGGCCGGTCCCCTCACTGACTTCGCCTGGCTACGGCCTGCCACCAACCGCAACCATACCTGTCAGGAGGCCCATAAATGTCGAGCGCCCGTCGCGCTTCGAACCCGGACTGTCATAACCGGGAACGCGTGCTCTCACCACGCGGAGTCCAACGCTCTAACCAACTGAGCTACGGGACCGGCATATATTTCCGGAGATATTTCTCTCGACAAGTTTACTGGTACGTCGTATCAAGAATGGGAAAACTGGTTTGACGACTTCAAACTGTTCGGGGAGCTAAAAAAAATGGACGACCGAGAAAAAGGTTAGTTTCATCCGTTTCTTTGTGGAAGGAAACGTAAAAGAAGCTCTTCGTCAGACACATTTTGAGACTCTGGATGAAGTTGATATCACAGCCAAGAAGGTTTTAGGCGGAACACCTGATCAGCTATCCGCGGCCAGGTCTATTGACGCGGAACAATACCGTGGCAACATCCAAGATTACTTGTTGAGAGTCAGGGCTGGAGTGCGCCATGCATATCCGCATTTGAGCGAGGAGGGCCGCTCTAGTGTGACGCTTCTCCAGCTGCAGCGAGCGCTGCCGGCAGAATACGGCAGAGAAATAACCCGAGAGGGCTGTGCCACGCTAGATGAGGCCATCCGCGTGGTTGAGGCGTTAGAACGCGCTGATCATCTTTACGGCTCCGCGGTGGCTTCTGTTCATCGCGTGCCCGTCACAACCGCAGATGGTCCCGGGCGAGCTGACCCGGAACGGGACCGTTCGGCTTGCTTCGTCTGTGGCCAGACCGGTCACTGGAGACGGGAGTGTTTGTTCCGGGGTGACGTCTGCGGGCGCTGCGGCCGACGCGGACACCTGGGAGTTGTGTGCCGCAGTTCGGGAAACGGAGGCCGGTCGACGAGCGGTGGGGCCGCCCGGTCGACCGGCGCATCGAGTCAGCCCCTTGCCTGAGTCAAGGATCAGGAGAAGTCAGGCGAGCGGTGCTGGGGGTACCGCCTGGCTCGCGACCACCTCGGCCCGGCCCGCCGCCGCTGTGGCCGCCACTGCCGCAGCCTGGCCCGTTGCCGCCGCCGCCGCCGCGGCCTGGCTTGCTGCCGCCGCCGCCTGGCTCGCCGCCGTCGCCGCCGCCGCGGTCTGGCTCGTTGCCGCCGCCGCCGCCGCCGTCGGCGCCGCCGCCACCGCCGCTGCGGCTGGGCTCGCCGAATCTGCCTGGCCCATCAACGCAGCCTGTCTTGCCGCTGCCGTCGCAGTCTGGCTGGCCGTCTCTGCCCGGCTCGCCGCCGTCGTCGCCACCGCCGCTGCGGCTGGGCTCGCCGAATCTGCCTGGCCCATCAACGCAGCCTGTCTTGCCGCTGTCGCCGCGGCCTGGCTCGCCGTCGCCGCCGCCTGGCTCGCCGCCGCCGCCGCCTGGCTCGCTGCTGCCGCGGCCTGACTCGCCGCCGTCACCGCCGCCGCGGCCTGGCTCGCCGTCGCCGCGGCCTGGCTCGCCGTCGCCGCCGCCTGGCTCGCCGCCGCCGCCGCCTGCCTGGCTGCCGCCGCGGCCTGGCTCTCCGCCGCCGCTGCCTGGCTCGCCGCCGTCGCCGCCGTCGCGGCCTGGCTCGTGGCTGCCGCCGCGGCCCGGCTCGTTGCCGCCGCCGCCGCCGCCGCCGCCGCCTGCCTCGCTGTCGCCGCGGCCTGGCTCGCCGTCGCCGCGGCCTGGCTCGCCGTCGCCGCCGCCTGGCTCGCCGCCGCCGCCGCCTGCCTCGCTGTCGCCGCGGCCTGGCTCGCCGTCGCCGCCGCCTGGCTCGCCGCCGTCGCCGCCGCCGCGGCCTGGCTCGTTGCCGCCGCCGCCGCCGCCTGGCTTCCTGCTGCCGCGGCCTGGCTCGCCGCCGTCACCGCCGCCACGGCCTGGCTCGTCGCCGCCGCCGCCTGCCTCGCTGCCGCCGCGGCCTGGCTCGCCGCCGCCGCCGCCGCCACGGCCTGGCTCGTCGCCGCCGCCGCCTGCCTCACTGCCACCGCGGCCTGGCTCGCCGTCGCCGCCACAGCCTGGCTCGTCGCCGCCGCAGCCGCCGCCACTTCTGTCGGATGAAGAGCAGTCGCTGCTGGCACGCGGCGTGGTGACCGGCGGTCCTCAGCCGGGTGGCCGGTTCGCGCAGGTCCTCATCGATGGCCGCCCCGTCTGCGCCCTGGTGGACAGCGGTGCCGACGAGGTCATCATTCGACGGGACTGCTTGGCACCGGGAGCGCGTCTCCGACCGCTGGAT